GGCAAAATAAACCAGGAAAAGGCCCCACATTAACAGAGGATTAACCCTTAAAAGCACCAGCCTGTTGCATATTCATACAGCTCATCCATGGTGCATAAATTCCATTCAAACACAGGATTCTGGCTGGGCAGTGTCAGCTTCTTCCTCTGGATCCTGACAGTGCATTCAAGGCAGGAAGAAGTTCATTTCTCCTGATAATGGAGCAATGAATTCTCTTTCTCTGACAGATTCAGGTGTCCTGTGGCTGCTATCTCAGTGCAAGCCCTTTCTTTAAAAAAAAGTATCCTACATAGCATCATTTCTATTTTAACCTTATGTTATAACCTAAAACTATATTTAACACACTGCTTAAGAAAATTAACTCAGCATCACTTTCTAACACCACACATATAATATTCATTTGAATATTTGCCAAAAGCCAATCATAAAATACACATTTTTCACATGGTGGTGATTGTTCTTCATAGATTTCATTTCAATTGCATCAAAATATGAATAATGGTGTCATTTTCTCATTCCTTAGCTAGATACTGATAAATAATTTGTGATTTTTCCCCCCTTTATAGATATTTATCAATCCCCCAGGTTTTGCTAGAGGTGTGGTATGAAGTACAAAGACTTTGGGAATTTCAGCTTTTACCTGAAGTGACCACAGCACTAAGGAAGTGCCACAAATTTTGATGACTTCATAGCAAAAAGCACTAAAAATATTATTTTTCTTCTGTACCAAGGGATGATTTTGGTGTCTCTGAAGTTGTAATTCTGCACATTCTCCAGGCATTTTTGATGTCTTCAAAGACAAATAAAAAAGAGATTCTCTTAAAAATAAGAGATTAAACAAATGTTTCAGGTGGTCTTTGAATACCAGAAACCAAAAAGGGAACAGGCTGTTCATAGCAAGGACCCTGAATTTCTGGCATTAGCACTTTCTTCTGTCAGTCATTGTTTATTACCCAAAATTGTGCAGGTTTTTGTTACTTGCCCATTTCAAAACTCTTGAAATCTTACTGAAACAATTCAAACCCTGAGGTTTTCCTAAATCTGAAGGACTTTGGAGATTGATTGTGTGGTACAGCCTCTGTATAAAGGGATGTGTTGCTGGGTGGTTTGGGGGGCAGTTGTGAAATTGAGAATTTAACAACCAGCACAGGAACACAAAACCAGGGAATGATTCTGTGCTTTTATTGCTTTTATTGAGGAGCTCTGGGTGTCAGGGGCACAGAGCCAAAGCTGACTTCAGGATGGCTTCAGGATGAACATGGTTTTATGCCCTTATTGTTATATAACTACATATTCATTATTAAACTTACATTGTTCTATTGTGAACATTGATTTCATCCAGCATGGATTTTGTAATTCCCATCAAACCCCCAACATTGCTTCTCGTTATTGTTAGCATTAAACAATAATTATATCCAATTACCAAACAATCATTGCACCTAACAATCCTATCAATGGTCATTCAGTGATTATAGAGGTGCAGCTGAACATTTCCCAGGGCCTGCAGGCCTGTCCTTCCTTTCTGACTCCCCTGAATACTGGGTGATTTTAGAAACATTTTATCGCTGTAGTGTCAGGCTGGGATTGTGGAGCAAACCGTGCCCTGTGCCCACAGATGGCCTGGAGCACGTCAGGGACATCAAGCTGGAGAAGTGCATGTACATCCAGGACCAGTGTCTGCAGCGGCTCAGCGAGACCAGCAGCCTGCAGAGGAGCCTGCAGCAGCTGCACATCATCTCCTGCGGCAACGTCACCGACAC